GAGGTCCTGCAAACGGAAAACCGATTCTTGCTGCCGCTCGCGTCTTGCGCGGCGCACTCGGAGTTCGACCTCGAGAAACGGCGCACCAGCCACCGCCTAAGCGCCACGCTGACCAACCGGCTGCAGAGCGACGGCAGCAGCCTGGCTCTCGCCCCCGGCGTGACTGCGATGCTCCTCGTCATGAACACGCTCGTCGCACCCGCGACGCTCACTGAACTTGAGGGCAGCGACTCCGAGTTCTACCCGGTGCTGGACCGCATCTGCGTCCAGCTGCTGCGCGGCGGCCGCGTGCTGAGCTGCAGCGCCACGGAAGTGCTGCTCGAACTGGATCTCGACGCTGGCGCTGACGGCGCGGCTGTGTTGAGCACCTGCCAGAACGCGCTGTTTCTCCTGCTGTTGCCTGAGCGCTTGCAGCTCACGCTGCGCGCGCGTTCGCAGCTGCTCAGCTTGGGCAAGGAGTTCTTACGGTCGGTTCAGCAACCTTCGAAGTCGGTCGAGCCCGCTTCGCTGAACTTCGAGTACTTTCTTTCTTCCGCGGCGCAGCAAGTGGCGAGTGAGACTGCGAACAGTTGCCCCGTCTCGGTCAGCCGCGCGGCGTTCGACGCGGACTATCTTTCGCAGCTGGCCGCCAGCTTACACCTAAAACTCAGCGACTCTGCGAGTACTGCCGCGCGCGCCGCTGGCTCGGCGGCGATAGGCGGCCAGCGCTGCTTCGAGCGGCTCGCCCGCTGCAGCCGCGCTCGCCACTTTCTGCTTGTCGAAAACCGCGATGTGGCCCAGTCGCTCTGCAGCCTGCTCGCAAACGCGGGCGCGGCGGCGCGCGTCCTCGACGCCAAGGACTTTCTCCCTGCGCCGCCGCAAGGCGCGTCGCGGCAACGGCCGAACCCGGTCGTCGCACACCTGCTCGCGCAGCTCAACCAGATCAGCTGCAACTCGCGGCTGATGGTGCAGAAGAGCGTCTCCAACATTCAGAGCGCGACGTTCTACCTCGAGGAGCAAGTGCTTCCGACCCTCGCGCAGTACAGCTGGCTGGTGCAGCGCTGCAAGGAACAAGACGTCGACTTGGCAGACACAGATCGGTTGCTCGATTTTGTTTACGCAGAGCTGCGCGATGCCGCCTACGTCGACCACGTGCGTGCAAATCTTGGAGAACTGCAGAACAGCGCGGCGCTCAGCTTAGAGCACGTCTTGTTTCCGTTCGCCTTGAGTTTGGCGTCCTTTTCGGAGAACGCTGAGCAGCACCCGCGCCAGATGGAGGCCTTCTGCGGCCGCTGGCGCAAAGTGTATTCCGAGTGCACCAAGCAGAGTGTTTACGCAACCTTCAGCCCGCTAGAAGGCAGAAACCGGAACCTGCTCGCGTTCGCGCACGCGCTGGACGTGTGCATCGCGGATTCCG